GTCTTACACTGCTAAATTAGGGACGGCTAGCGCAGATAGCCCTCGTGTAGCTTTGCGCGAAATTCAAAAACAATCTTTTTCTTTTGAACCTCCTGTTATTTGCAGGACTCATACCAATTACCTAATGTACTTGAATACAACAGAGTTATACACCTTTCAGCCCTGTACTACAAGACAAAAACGTGTATTTTTTTCAATATTATTCTATAATCTCACATCCACACTAACTGCATTTATTGCACTTCAAACATCTTTTCACTTGATGTTTCATATTTTCTACATCTTTTTTTTTTTTACCCTTTAAAACACAGAGTAAAAACAAAATGATAACTGACTGTTGACCAGAAAACTGGGGACAGGAATGGTCAGAGCACGGACAAAGAATGTTGAATACTCCCTAGGTAGAAATGTTACTGACATTTCGTCTTCACCTGATTCATTGCTAATTGTTCTAGCTGATCTATATAAATATAATAGTACTGTCTGTTGTCTGTTCTTGTACCTACTTCGCAGGATGAGGATGGATCTTCACCAAAATTACCATGGAGATTCATCAGGTCCGTGTGGGGGTACATACACATTTTCAGTTTTACATTTTGCGGTTTTTATGGGTGTTTTTTGCATTTTAACCACTACTTTGCCCCGTGTACGTGGATCTTCACCAAATTTGACATGAAGGTTCATTGAGTCCGTTTGGAGACACGTACAATTTTTGAATATTGCATTTTGCGATTTTTATGGGTGTTTTTTGACAATTAAATATGGCTCACACTAAGTTTCAAATCATCATGCCTATTTGTTTCCCGAATGGAAATGACTTTTGATACAATCGGTATTTGGATATATGTATATAAGTGTAGGATCCCGAAGTAGGCTAGTAATTAATGTCGGGCTATTTCTCTATACAATCGGTATTTGGATATATGTATATAAGTGTAGGATCCCGAAGTAGGCTAGTAATTAATGTCGGGCTATTTCTCTATACAATCGGTATTTGGATATATGTATATAAGTGTAGGATCCCGAAGTAGGCTAGTAATTAATGTCGGGCTATTTCTCTATACAATCGGTATTTG